CCGGCGTGTGGCACCGCTATCAAGTCAGTACGCATTTCCATGAGTGTGTGTATATATACCTATATGTATATCTATATCGATATCTATCTATACCTATCTATCTATTTTTCTTTCTTTCTTTCTTTCTTATCTATCTATGTATCTATCCATCCATCCATCCATATCTATCTATCTATCTATCTATCTATTTGTTGTATGTTTGTTGTATGTTTGTACATACATATCGGTATGACATGCGAACCTTGTTCTGGGAACCACTGCATTCCAGCTTTTTGCCGCAAGCTGGATTGAATGGGTCAAGAGCAATCAAGAACATTGTCTCCGATAATGGTCAGATTCATAATTTGGCCATACCACCCTGTCTCCTTGTTATGCCTAAGAACGCCCGAAAAACCCAAATAAACATAAATAAACATGATAACAGAAAGTAGCCTTGATTAAAGCTTTCGATGTGCTGTTGTGCCATGGGCATGCCCGGCAAGCATACATTGCCCGAACCGGGATGGACAGTTTGCAGAAATTGGCTGCCCTGCCTTTGGTCGACAACGCCTGTGCCTCCCGAGCAAATCGAGACAGTTGGACCTACAGCGTTTATTGTCGAGAGATCCAGGCCGCAAATGCCACGGACCCCGATAAAGTGCAGGTGTCTGTAGTGTCCAGCAGTGAGGACGTGCGGCCTGTCTATGTGCGGCTTCAAGAGGTGGCCGCCTCGCAGTTGCTGCAGCTCAACCCCTCTGCTGCCATTGTGGCTTACTCAGAGTGGCGATCCAAATTCAGTGAGGGTCAATACTTGACCCTGCTTTTCTACCATGCTTTCATGTTCTTGGAAGTGGAGGGCGGGTTGGCCATTTGCACAGAAAAGTACAATGACAAGCTAGAACTGATGTTTGGAGAGAAGCAACTCCTGTCGACCTATGGCAAGCACTACCGCGCAACAGGAGATCAAAGAAAGCCGAGTTTTCAGCATTCTCATTGCAAAGTGGAGCGTTATGTCTCGATGAAAGAGCTTGTGGACTGGATATGCGGACCTCTTGCAATCGTTTGGCGGCCCTACTGTTTGATCAACAGCAATTGTCAACATTATGCACGCGACTTGGTGCAGTTTCTGGAAGATCGACACTTTGCGGAGCTTTTGTGTAAGGACCGTGAGGTGGTGCTTTCGGCTGTGCAGTGTGAGGGCCATCGCCTGTGCTATGCCCATGAGAGCCTCCAGGATGACCGTGGATTGGTCCTGGCTGCTGTGGCCACCGACGGCTGTGCCCTGGCCTTCGCGTCGGCACGGCTCTGTGGTGACCGGCAAGTGGCCTTCGCAGCAGTGAGGCAGGCAGGCGCAGCTTTGCAGTTCTGCAGCCGCTTCCAAAATGACGAGGAGCAAAGCTTTCAGGTGTTGGCCTTTGTGCGCTTTTGGTGCTTTTGTTGTTGCGAAAGCAAGCCGTTGCTAGCTGGAGTCTGGAGTTGCGGGCGGCTGCGGTAGCAAACCTCCAATACACTCCCATGGCCCATTCTCACGATCTTTTTCCCCAAACAGTTTACTGTTAGGGCTTCTCAATTCTTTTTTAAGATATGTCCGCCCTTTGTGTCACTGCTGGTGTCCGCCCTTTTCCGCTGGCCATGTATCATTTCTATTCATTTGTCTCCCAGGTCTATCACTGCTAGTGTCCGCCCTTTTCCGGTGGCCATGCAGCGTTTCTATTCATTTGTTTCCGAGGTATGTTACTACTAGTGTCCGCCCTTTTCCGTTCACAATGAAACATTTCTTTTCATTCCCCATCAAATTTGCCGTTACGTAGGATTTCTCAATTCTTTCTTAAAGTATTTTTCTATTCGTTTGTCTTAAAAGTGATTTCTTTATTTTTTTGTCTCTCAGATTCGCTGCCTGTACTGTTGGTGTCCGCCCTTTTCCGCTAGCCATGCAGCATTTCTATTCATTTGTTTCCCATGTGGTTTGTTTACTTTTGTTTTCCAGGTTCAGTGCCTCCCCTGTCCAGCATTTGAATTCATATTTGTCTCCCAAGTGATTTTCTGCACTTCCCCAAATAGGTTACTGTACTATTAGGAGTTCTAAATGCTTTCCAAAAGTCTCCGCCTTGCTGCCGGACAGCGTGTCCGCCTTCCGTCCGGCTTGTCTCCCTTAGTCTCCCTTCTTGTTGGTCACTGTGTCCCCCTTCTTGTTGGTCATTGTGTCCGCCTTGTCTCCATTCATTCTTTCTTTGTCTCCGGTTTTGTCTCCCTTCTGTTTCCTTTTGTCTTCCTCCTTGTTGTCCGTGTTGTCTTCTTTCTGTTTCTTTTTGTCTCTGGTCTTGTCCCCCCTTGTTATTAGTCACTGTGTCCGTCTTGTCTCTCTTCTGTTTCCTTTTGTGTCCCTTCTTGTTGGTCATTGTGTCCGCCTTGTCTCCCTTCTGTTTCCTTTTTTTCTCCCTTCTTGTTCTCCCTTCTTGTTGGTCATTGTGTCCGCCTTGTCTCCCTTCTGTCTCCCTTCTTGTTGGGCACTGTGTCCGTCTTGTCTCCCTTGTGTTTCCTTTTGTCTCCCTTGTTGTCCCCCTTCTTGTTGGTCATTGTGTCCGCCTTGTCTTCCTTCTTTCCTTTACATGTGTCATGTGCCTCCTCTCTCCCCCCTCTCGCTTGCAACCCTTCACATTTGTCTCCCAGCTGCTCTGCCCTGCAATCCTTTATATTTGTCTCCCTGTGTCTACATTTGTCTCCCAGCTCTGGACTGCTATGTCCGCCTCTGCCTTGCAATCCTTTACATTTGTCTCCCAGCGCTGGGCTGCTCTGTCCGCCTCTGCCTTGCAGTCTCCCAGCTCTGACTACTGTGTCCGCCTCTGCCTTGCAATCCTTTACACGTGTCCTCGCAAGCCTTTGCATGTGTTTCCCAGCTCTAGACTGCTGTATCCGCCTCTGCCTTGCAATCCTAAATTTGTCACCCAGCTCTGGGCTGCATGTCGCTTGCAATCCTTTCATTTGTCTCCCTCTGTGTCTACATTTGTCTCCCAGCCCTGGACTGCTGTGGCCGCCTCTGCCTTGCAATCCTTTATCTCCCAGCTCTGGACGTCGCAAGCTCTAGTTGCAGAGTGTTCCGATTTTGAAAACACAAGCTGTTTAGGGTCTACGATGGTGTAATTTGGGGAAAGATGTTGCCGTCCGGTGTCGGGTTCGATTCCCGGTCGTCCGTTTATTTTCAACCCGGTCCCCAGCTCTTAGCTTCGCTGGCCTCAAGCAGGGCCAGTTACACAGCATAGCTAGTACAGCCTCCACACGGGCCAGGAGCTAGTCATGGCGGCAGTCCTTCAAGATGCCAAAGCCTTGCAATTTGCCAGCAGGCAATTGAAGCGTACAGCTGCAGTTGTTGTTGCGGCTGCAACGGACACGGGCCAAAAAGATTGGTCGCGGTTGTTTGCAGTCAGGGAGTTGGCTAATGATGAGGATGTGGCCCTCACAGCAGTTTCACTGGATTGGCAGGCGGCTCGCTACATATCTCCAGCGCTGCAAACTGATCCGTCTTTCATGCGACGAGCGATCTCGTTAAATGGCCTGGTCATACAGCTCACACCCATCTTTTGTGCCCAACAAATTCATGGGTTGTGTGCTGTGCGACAGAATGGCCTTGCTTTGAGGTTCCTCTCGGACGAACTTCGGGCAGATGCAAGGCTTGTGCGGGAAGCTGTGGCCAACAATGCCATGGCGCTAGAGTTCGCTTCTGAAGATTTACGATCCCGGAGAGACCTAGTCCTGTCGGCTGTTGTGAAGCATGGCCATGCATTACAATTTGCATCAGACCGGCTAAAGAAGGATCGGACTTTGCTACTGACGTCTGCCAGGCGCTACCTTTTCATTGACTGGCAGTGGCTGTTTGATTCAGAGCTTCGCAACAGCAAATCAGCAGTGCTAGGGGCTGTCCATGCTGACGCAACAGCGCTGCGATGCTTGGCACCTCAGTGGTGTAACGATCGTGATGTCGTGTTTGCAGCACTGCAACAAGAGGGAACCATTTTGGAACTTGCAACCGATGCGCTGCAGAAAGACCGTGATTTGGTTCTTGCGGCGGTTCGATCTGATGGCCGAGCGCTGCAAATGGCCGCGCCTGAGCTTCGAAGTGACCCAGAGATCCTGAGCTGCGCAGCCCGAAGGTGGTGGTCCTTTGACTGGTCATTCCTGGAAGACACCTTAAGATGCGACAGGCATGGTCTCACCATACTTACCTGCTTAGGACACTGAAAGACCAGAAACGATCAGAAACGTCATGAAGTATATCATGCTCTTTATATATATATATATATGTACATACTAATCCACAATCTATATAATGAGCTACATGTGCCACAGATGCAAACGAAAGCATTGAACACACTCCTTTGATACCCTTGCCAGGGCAGTCATCCTCACCGCTGTCCAGATTGATTGGAAAGCTTTGGAGCGCGCCGGAGATGCTCTCAAGGATGACGTTGAGGTGCTTTCGGCTGCGGTGCGGCAAAATGTTGGAGCCTTGTGCTGGGCATCTGAGAGCTTGCGCGATGACAAAGACGCGATGCTGGCACTCGTGCAGATCAATGGAAATGCCTTGCAGATGGCCTCAGATCGCTTGAAGAAGGATCGCGAAGTGGTGCTGGCTGCAGTGCGACAGGACGGTAAGTCCTTACAACATGCTTCAGAAGAGTTCCGAGAGGACGTTGAGCTGCTCTCCGCCTCGTCTCGATGGTGGACACGGGCGCGAATACCCGGTCAGTTGTGGTGGACACGGGCGAAAAGGGTGTGATGGTGTGACCATCAGTGAGCCAACCCACCATCCACCAGATCGCAGGGCTACCATTTTTGTCCTATGTTAGTCCTTGTTTGGCTCATTTGGTGAAATGGTGTCTGATGATGTGCGGGCCCGTAAGGACTTTCCCGCTCCTGCATCAAGATTTTGCCTCACCTCACTGTAAACAATGGCTACGGATGACCTATATATTATATCCTTTCCTGAACTCCCCGTTAGTGTTGGGGTGACATGATGTGCCCAGGAAAGCTTTGACTATCACAGTGTTGGAACCAGATTACAACGAGGACTCAGAGAGCACAGGTCTAATGAAGGGCATTTATTGACGGTGTCGAGCTTTGCGGAAGCCAGCCTGGATGTGAGTATGTGTACAGTGGGAACAAGTGCTTACAGTGCTTACATGCATTTTCGTTGTGCTTGCGACGCAAGCAGGTTAAGCCTGACCAAAGCCTTGCTTTGTTGAGAGACACGCCACTCACACTGGCAGGAGTTGAAACGCTTCGTTTCAGTGGAAGAACTCAACAGCTTTGTTCTTGCTGCCCGGGAGCCTCAGTTTTCCAGAGGGGTCCTTGATATTTCTGGATTTGATTCGGCAGGAATCATGTGACTGCCGAGTGCCAGCGTTGGCCAAGAAATGTTGAGTATCGCAAGGCAGTGCAAAGATTGAACTTGCACTGGCGGCTCCACACCATTTGGCCCAAGCCCAGCTGTTGCTGTTGGGGGCATTGTCCGCTGCCTCTCGGCCAACTGGGGGATGTGTTGGGTTTGCAAAATAGACGTTCATAATTCACTGCTAGGGGTGTGAGTTTTCTTTGAAATTGCACCGGGACTGTTGGTGCTTGTAGATCTGGTTGAGAGCAACCACTCACTGTTTGGGGCTCAAGGGTGGAGTGAGGCAAAACATTTGCGCGATGACGTCATTCCCATGGCCGCGGCGACACTCAGAGGCAGCACCAGCCAAGGAGCCGGTCTTTAAGTTGGATCAGATCTGTGCGTGAGCTGACAGGCCAAAGAGCAGAAGCGAAGCTCCAGGTGGTCAAGGACTACAACAGTCACCATGATATGAACAAATATGCAGATTTGTGGCAATCTTGCACAACTTTGCATTTTTAGGCAATGTGCTAAGCCTCCAGGCTAGAGCTTCCCAAGGACGATGAGGTATCAACGTTGGGGTGCCAAGTATGTCGAAGGAAGCGCATGCAGCGAGCTGAAAACAGTAGCTACAATGCAGCTACAGGCTGTAGTACTTTGGTCAGAACGGAAGCTGTCCTAGTCACGAAAGCTAGCATGCTAGCTGAGTTCTTCTTTGCTTTAGCAATTGGTAGTGGGATGAGCTGTGTGCCTTAAAGCTTGATATATCACGCTAACCACCCCCC